TCAAGCCTGTAATCCCAGCACTTTGGGAGGCCAAGGTGAGAGGATTGCCTGAACTCAGGGCTTCCAGACCAGCCTGGGCAACTTGGGTGAGACCTCGTCTCTATAATATATCAAAAAATTACTGTCAGGCTCGGTGGCTCAGCCTGTAATCCCGTGCCTTTGGGAGGCTGAGGTGAGTGGATTGCCTGAGCCCACGGGTTCGAGACCCGCCTGGGCAGCGAGACCTCATCTCTACAATAAAATAAAAAAATCAGCTGGGCGTGGTAGTGCATACTTGTAATTCCGGCTACTCGGAAGGCTAAGGCGGAAGGATCGCTGGAGATCAGCAGGCAAGGCTGCAGTGGCTGGGAGCGGCCAGTCTGGGCAACCGAGTGAGACTCCAACTCAAAAAAAAAAAAAAAAATTAGCCAAGTCCGGTAGCACGTGCCTATAGTTCTGGCTACTTGGAAGGCTGAGGCAGAAGGATTGCCTGAGCCCAGCAGGTCGATGCTGGGGTAGCCGTGAGCATGCCAGTGCACTCCAGCCTGAGTGACAGAAGAGTGAGACCCCAACTCAAAAAAAAGAATTAAGCAACTAAATAGAATGAAGAGAGATAGCACCTACCACATGTGGTTATTAGGAGAAATGAAAGGAAATGCACCGGGCACGTGCTACACGCTACCCAGGCCAGCGATTTTTACCTCTGCTAATGTGCTCCCCTGCTCAATGCTCCCCTCCCCGCTTAGACTTCTGAGTCCCCCACTGCAAGGGCCCTTCCCTTGGGTAAGGCCTCGCCGCACTCCCAGGCCCACCTCCTCCTCGCGCCTCCATGCCGCCTCCCGCTGCTCCAACTCCTTGCGGCTGCGTGTCCAGTCGCTGGTCACCTTTCGTATGTCCTCGCTCAGAGCCTGGTTGGCTGAGCCAGCCTGGTCCAGCTGCTCTCGGAGCATGGCATTCACCTGGGCCAGGCTGGCGCTCCTGGGCAGGACCAAGGGGATCGGTGGGCGCCTGCCGGCCCGCCCACCAGGAAGACCGCCCTGCCAGCCCAG